CATGGCTAAACCTTTATGGGAACAGATAACCTCATCTTTGGCATTGAAGCACACAGTCCAACACTTATCTGACGGCACCACCAGAGAACTTCTAAAACTCAACCAAACACCTTGAAGGAATGAATCGTTGAGTCCAGGGGCTCAGGACCACAGACTCAGGGAAGATCAAGATCAACTGCCATAACAATTCACAAAGGCAATATTCCACATCCTCCTTCGGTCAGTCATGATTGAGGTCTTAAAGCTCATGAGCAGCCTCTAGTTGTAAACTGGTCTCTTTCTATACAGAGCAATGAAGAGTAATGAAAATCAGAAGAGAGATGAGAACAGTCCAAGGGACTAGGAACCACACACACACATTAGTCTCAATAACCCTGACACCAGAAGAACTAGGTAGTGCCGGGCTACCAACTGCTCTGAAAGGACCATATGAGAAGTTCCTAGCTAGGGGGGGATGGAAAATTTGGAAGGATTCTCAAAACCATTTAAGAAATCAGGCTTACTGGTCAGTTAGAGACTGGTGGCAGTCCAAAGACTAATCCTTCTGGTTTGGTACTGAATTCCCCCCCCCCATGTTAGAATAATCAACCATTTCAGGTCAAAAGGGAAGTTTTGATTTTATACAAGGATGAAGTTCAGGGGTTAGGAAAGGAGGAGGCATGGAAACAAACACAAGAAGTCGGAGTAAGTGGTGGTGCATGGAGCAGACGTTACTGCATGAGTGGGAAGAAAATGCAACAGAACTGTTGAATGTACAAGTGCGGGTCTGCTCTAGCACTGCACCTAATTTATGATCAAAGTTTGCAAATTAACAAGTATGTTAACATGGACTTCTTCTTTTAAATGCAGTTATTAATTTTTTCAGATCATTTAGGGTACTTTCTAAAATGACAGTAGCTGCCAGAAATTTAAGCTCCATTTATAAGAGAGCATGGGACGAGGGATATCATTGCTGATGACAGATGGCTTTAGGGTGAATGCAGAGAATTCTGAAAAGATGTTTACTTCTGTTTTATTGACTATGCAAAGGTATTAAAATGTGTGGATCATCACAGTTACATATAACAATGACAGATTCACATTTTGAAGAATGGGAAATTCAGACTATTTAATTATGCTTATGTGGAACCTGCACATTGACCAAGAGGTTGCTAAACAGAACAAAGGGATGCAGCTTGTGTGTTTTATAGTTTTATTCTTTCACCCTTCTTCTTTCATCCGTTTGCTGAGCAAATAAACCAAGAAGCTGAACTATATGAACAAAGCTGAACTGGAGGGAGGCTCATTAGCAGCGTGTAATGCTGATACCACAACCTGACTTGATAAAACTGAAGAGGACTTAGAGCATTTACTGATGAAGATCAAAGACTGAATCCTTTAATATGGACTTATTATAACCGATAGGTGTGCTGTTCGAAACCACCAGCTGCTCCATGGAAGAAAGAGGAGATTTTTACCAGGCATTTAAGACCCAGAATAAAATCATACCCAAGGCGAATGGGGGTGCGGGGGGGCATGAAGTGGAGACCCAATGCTCATCTGTAGACAATTGGACATCCCCTCACAGAGGGGTCACAGGGAAGAGGTGAGCCAGTCAGGGTGCATTATAGCACCGATGAAACACACAACTTTCCTCTAGTCCTTTGGTGCTTCCTTCACCCCACTATCATGACCTCAATTCTACCTTACAAATCAGAGTAGACCAGAACATGCACATGCACATGCACACTGCTACAGATAAAAGCCTGAAACACAGGGAATCCAGGATAGATAAACTCCTCAGGGTCAACAAGGAGAGTAGAGATACTAGGATTAGGGCAGGGTAGGGAGAGAAAGGAGGAATCGATCATAAGAATCAATCTAGAACCACCTTCCAGGGGGATGAATAATGGAAAAGTGGGTGAGAGGCAATGGAGGACGATGTAAGATATGGAAAAAATAATTTATAACTTATCAAAGGTTCATGAGGGAGGGTGGGCAGGGCCGCGAGGGGGAAGAAATGGGGAGCTGATATCCAGGGCTCAAGTGGGAAGAGAATGCCTTGAAAATGCTGATGGCGGCATATGTGCAAATGTGCTTGACACATTGGAAGAATGCATGGATTGTGATGAGATGTAAGAGCCCCTAATAAAAGTATTTTTTTTAAAAGAGTTAAAAGAATTACAGTCTTGGAAACTCACAAGTGCAGTTCCACTCTGTTTTATATGGTCATTATGAGCCAGCATTGACTCAATGGCTGTGAGTTTGTTTGACAGGGCACTAATCCACCCAAGGTATTGTTTATATCTTCACAGGGAAAGAGGGACCAGACTTCAACCCTGTGCTCCAAGATGTGAATGCAACATGCCAGCATTGAAGCAGGGCACCAATAGAGAGGTCTGAGGGGCCGGCCTCAATCCCAACTACATGGACAGCCTCCTCTCCCCCGCAGAAGAATTTACTTCAGAGGACAGCACTGAAACTACAGCTCAGGGAGAGGGAAATGTCTGATCAGAACACACAGGAGCAAATGAAGGGGGAGGAAGAGAGAGTGGAGTACATTCTGGCCCACTAAGCCTTGAGGACAATATCCCTACTCAGAGCAGCCAATGCACAGAAAGGACCATATGGCCAGCCCCATTATGAGACACAACATCCCTCACTCACCCACAGCCCTACAGGGGACAACACTGGAGACACAGTGTGGGAATTGTGCCCGATCTGATATCACCACACCAAGGCAAAACACTAAGGGGTGCAACAGAACATCAATGGGAGAAGAGCAAGGAAGTCCTTGAGGGAATACCAAATATAGACTTTAGGGCAAGGGCATGGCACCCCATCAGACTCGACCAGAAAACACTCCTAAAGGTCAACAAACAGACCTTGAACTGTTTTCAGGCTTTCTCTTTTTTTGTCATTGTTTTTTTATTGTTATTTTGTTGCTTTGTTTTGTTCTGTCTTGTTTTTTTGGGTGCATATTATTATCTCTGCAGGTCTATCTAGGTAAGATATGCAGGATAAACAAGCTGGAAGAGAAAACAATGGAATGGATGGTTCCAGGGAGACATGGGAGAGGAGGAGACAAGGGAAAGGAAGTGGGTGTTAACAATGTGTGGGTCCCAGGTACAAGGGAACAACAAGTGATCCAAAATTGATGGTGAGAAAGGTGTAAGAGGCCTGGTAGGGCTTGATCAAGGGCAATGTAACCAAGAGGAATTAATGAAACCCAAATGAAGGCTGAGCATGATAGTGGGACAAGAGGAAAGTAAAAGGAAATAGAGGAAGGAACTAGGAGGCAAAGGGTATTTATGGAGGTCTAAATACAGGCATGTGCATATATAAGGCAGTCAGAGTGCAGTATAGCAATGATGAAACACAATCCATACATACATCCATTGTGTCAAGCACATTTGTACATTTGTTGCCATCATCATTTTCAAACATTTTCTCTCTACTGGAGCCCTTGGTATGAGCTCCTCATTTTTCCCCTCCCTCACCCCCCTATGAACCCTTAATGATTTATAAATAATTATTATTTTTTTCATGTCTTATACTGTCTAACATCTCCCTTCACCCACTTTTCTGTTGTCTGTCCCCCTGGGAGGGGGTTATATGTAGATCCTTGTGATCAGTTCCCCCTTTGTGCCTCCACCTTCCCCTTCCCCTTCTGGTATCACTACTTTCATTATTGGTCCTGAGAAGTTTATCCGTCCTGGAGTCCCTCTGTTTCCAGTTCCTATCTGTACCAGTGTACATCCTCCGGTCTAGCCAGATATGTAAGGTAGAATTTTCCTCTAGTTCTTGAATGCTTCCTCCCGCCGACTATCATGATCCCAATTCTACCTTACAAATCTGGCTAGACTGGAGGATGTTCACTAGTACAGATAGGAACTGGAAACACAGGGAATCCAGGATGGATGAAACCCTCAGGACCAGTGGTGAGAGTGGTGAGGGAGAAAGGGGGAACAGAGTATAAGGATCTACATATAACCCCCTCCCTGGGGGACAGACAGCAGAGAAGTGGATGAAGGGCAACGTCAGACTGTGTAAGATATGACAAAATAATAATAATTTATAAATTATCAAGGGTTCATGTGGGGTAGTGGTGAGGGAGGGGAAAATGAGGAGCTGATACCAAGGGCTCAAGTAGTAAGGGAAACAATGTACAAAAATGCTTGACACAATGGATGTATGTGTGGATTGTGATAAGAGTTGTACAAGCCCCAATAAAATGATTTAATTATAAAAAAAAGAAATGAAACATGTGCCCAAGTATATGACTGAGATGTTTGTTAATATATATGAGCATTTGAATTTTATTTCCAGCTTATTTTCAATGTGTTGTGTAGGAGCACATCAGCTCAAATTATTTTAATTAGTCAGAAGTTGAGCATATAGAAGATTCTGAGTAAAGTATTTTAAAGCCTTCTAATACATACAGAAAGACTTTCTATAAAGCCAGAGTGGCACTGCTTCCAGTGAACTAGAAAATTTATAATAACAGAACTGTCCAGATGGATTATCTTACCATGTAATATGTTCTGTATTGATTGATTATGAATTAAAAATATTGTGTGCTAAAATATTTATAATCATTAAATATTTTAAAGGATAAGTTTAAACACACTGCCATACCACAGTGCTGTCTCTCTCTCAAAAGGAGTTCTGGTGGCAAAGTGGTTAAAGCATTTAGCTGATAACCAAAAGGTCAGCAGTTCAAACCCGCTAGAAATACATGCAGTTAAGATACACAGTGTTGGAAACCCATGAAGCAGCTCTATTTTGTCCTTTAGGGTAAATGATTTGGAATTGACTCTTCAACAATGGGTTTGGTTGCTTCCTCCGAAACTTCTTATTGTAAGACCATATTTTTCATGACAAGGGAAATATGTCATTTGGTTCCAAAAAAGAAAAAGTCGGGGATAGATCATCAATGGCTTCATGAGATGAGTATTTGTTTGTTCTGTAAGTGGTAATGGACAGTCATAGCAAAGCGCTATAGATTATAAAGCAGCTTATAATACAATTTCCATTTTATTTTAGACATTTTGTATGCTATAAAAATATTGATCACAGTGAGCTTTATCAATTGTTATTGCTATAAAAATGAATGCAGAAACAATATTTTTAGTGGAAATAAATTATATAGTCATTAATTATTATTTTTTTCTAAACATGAGGGGAAAAACCTTGGCTGTTTGGTCACTGGAAGAACACCAGTCTTAACAGGGGTCTTTCACAGGCACACGCCAGTCCATTTCTGTCGCGTTATCCACACGGTGCAGAAAACACAAGTTTTGTCTTTGTTGCCACAAAGGTCTTTGTCTTCATAGGCAGTTCTAAAATGGCAACACAATTCTCCGTGCTAGGAAATGATGAACGGAAAAGTAATACTGTCTGGGTTCATATGTGCCTTTTCCAGTATGAAGGAACACAGCGACATACTTCTTCACTGAATGAAAACCCTGGATCACAGTGGGTCAGTCGGTTTGGACACGGTCTTCTATAACAACTAGAACAAGAAGAGAAACACATTTCCATTAAAGGCCAAAGCAATTAATCCATTACAGCACAAAGGCACTTTTGTGTTAGTCTAAATGCCAAACTAGAACAAAATTACTCATTTTATTATAATAAAACTGTTCTTAGTTTTATAAACTTCTAAAGTTTCTGCACAGAATCACAACATTTAAGAGTAAGAAGCAGGCCTAAAATAACAACTTGGTTTCCTGATGTAACAAATGGAAAGATGGAGTATTGTAAGCATTAGTTCTTTTGAAGTGCTCTCTGCCTTATGGATGAAAGTAACATAAAAAGAAATTATGAAAGTGAATATGTACTGTGCTGCTTTACTGTGATCACAGAAGCATGGCAGAATTCACAAGGATCTGGACTGATGTGGGACCCAGACTTCAAGGCGATTAAACAGCCATTTTGGCAGGACTGCGGTCGTCAGGGAGCACCCCACCCTTGGTTTTGTCTTTTCACTTGGCTGCTGGCTGCATGATGGGGCCAAGTCTCCCCTCTCCACCTGGGCTCCACATGAAATAAATGTGTCCTAGAGGAAGGGGCTGAGAGGGAACACACTCACCAGAGGTTCCCTGTCAGTCTTTTCAGGTTCTAGGAGTGGTGAAAGGACAACAAATTTACCAGTTGGGCAATAGTACCAGCCACCATGTTGTTGGATTGGAGAACATTTTGCAGAATCGTTTAGAGTATGCTTAACAAGGGTATACAGGGTAAAATGTATGATGACATGACATGTGGAAATCAATAGGGCATTTTTTTTAAATGACAATTTTGGTTTTGAAGTTTTACTTCTTGAACCTTTAGGGGGGGAAAAGCACCCCTTTAGTTAACCTATGAAATATTTGTATAAAATAAAATGTCATACTTTTAAATGCAAATGCATATTTATAAGATATAAACAGGAATACATTTCTCAATGATCAACAAAAATTGCTGATTAAAGCAGTATATTGAAGAATATATATTCAGACCACCACAAATAAATATTAAGAAAAAATGGGAAGTAGGTGTATATTTTTCAAAAGAAATAAATTATCTCCTTTAGTTCCACATACACATGCACACAACACAACACCTGTATTTACACACTTACGATCCTTATATGAAAACAGAAGAAAGGCAGCTATCCAATTGGCTCTGACATATAGCAAGTACCCCTCCAGGAGTAAGGAGAACTAGGCCTAAGGTTCTTAGGGTTTCAGTGCGATTTGGAATTCCTTTGTCAATACCATCAGTTCTTGATCTTATATTATATCCTGAAATGCTGGAACACTGAGCAATTCTTTTTAGGTAAAGTGTCTCTCGGTATTCTTCCTATCTCTTGTTGATGCTTCCTGCACCACTGAACATTTGCCTGTAGATCTCACTACTGCAACTCGAGGCTTGAACTTTTTCTTCGGTTCGTTCAGCTTGAGAAGCGCTGAGTGTGTTCCTCCCCTTTGGTTTCCCACTCCAGCTCTTTTCACATTTCACATCGGAGTTTTCTTGTCTGTTCATCCCTTTTGCTTCATCACTTATTGCCTAGGTTTTAGCTCCTCTACCCTGTAGCACAGTTTCCTAGTCTATTCTGACATACATTGAAGGCTTGCTTGACCTTGCCATTTTAATTTGGCTTTCTTTATGCATGATGTTCTTGATGTTATCCCACAACTTGTCTAGCCTTTGCTCATTAGTGAACAACACATCCAATGTATTTGTGAGACAGACTGAATTCAGGTGGGAGCCACTCAGATGTATTGGGGCTCTCATGAGCTTGCATTCATTTTCTTCAGCTTCAACTTGAACTTACATCCTAGCAATTGGCAGTCAATTCCATGGTTGGCTCCTGGCTTTATTCTGATCGATGACATTGAACTCCATAGTCTGTTCCATATAATGACTGTGTATTAGAATAAGTTGAAACATATGGCTACTAGGACTCCAGTTCATACACGTCTGAGTTTATGTTGACTGAAACATGTTTAAACAGGTTTGTATGCTTAGTGGATGGCTGCAGACAAGTTTTCTTAAGACACTTGTCTCATTCTCATTAGGGTATCTTAAAATAATAAAAAAAAAGTCCAATTATAACTGTAGCTTCCAAGGAGGTATGCTGGGCCGGTTAAATTCATGGCAGAGAGGTTAGCTCAGAAGGTTACAGACACTATTTTGGGGGGAATTAAAAAAGTGTAACCTTGACGGACTTTCTCAATGAACAATAATGAAGGTTTATTATGAACACATTTTAAGAAAATTGAAAACTGCAGATTGGTGAGTAAAAGGCCCAGAAAATTGTCCTGAGGAATTTCTTCCATTATAACAATGCATCTCCTCATTCTCCAAGATTACCAAGGAATGTTCTATGATACTTCCATTGGGAAAACTACCCATCCACCCTAGGGCTCTGATCTTGTCCTGTCAGGTTTCCCTTTATGTTCCCGAGCTCAAAGAATGTTTACAAGGAACACAATTTAAATACCATGAAAATGCCAAAATCAGATGCCAAAATTGCTCTTGGATGTTGTGGAGACTGAAGGGTGTAGAATTATTCGGTGAAGGATTAGCATGACAGAAACATTACCTACAAAAGAGCCTATATCTAAATGGTGAATAGGTTGAGAAATAATAGAATCACATTGTAATTTTTGATATTTAGTTAATAAAAGCTTCTATGATTCAGTAGCAATATACTTTGACTTATCCTTATTCCATTTGGCAAGCTCCAATATAAAGTAGTTGATGTTGAAAATGGTATTTGAAATATATGTCATTAATTTAAAAAAATTTTGTCATAGGATTTCCACCATCATTTGTATCTCAAAGGCCATATTTTTGAGTATCTATGAATTTTCTTTATTTTACAATGTTTGCAACCCAATCATCAGTAATTATCAATGTACCTTGATTGCATGGTGATTCATTTCAGCAGAAGTTGGTAGAAATCATCAATTTCCTTATTCTGGCTTTAGCAGTTGTTATGCAAATTTAACTAATAGTCATATCAACTTGTCTCATATTCTAATGGATATCATCTTATAGCTGGGAGTACTGTACTGAATGACAACAACAAAAACCCCAATCCACTGCTGCCTGTTCAATACCAACTCAAAGCAATTCTATAGTAATCTCATCGGTCATTACAGAAATGCTACCTCGGGTTTCTGAGACTATATATCTTTCCAACAACAGAGTGGCTGGTGGGTTTGAATAGCCTAGACAGTGGTTAGCAGCCAATGTTGAACCCACCATGCCAATGCACCTCCCTGTTGTACTTCAAGATCGATCTTGAAAGGCTCCTCATTAGAATAAGTGAAACCTCCATTCTCATCAATCTATTATCCCCAGCATTGTAGACCACATGATCATCTGAATCAAAATGTGAAATAAGAGCTTGCTTCCGTTCCCTCCTGACTAGGAAATCACACTTTAAGTGTTCCCTTTCATTGCTCAACACTTTCTGCTGTTCCTAGATGCCTAGTCCATACATTCCAGGTGCCAATTATTAATGGCTGTTTGCAGGTGTTTCTTCTTATTTGGAGTCATGCTGACAGCCATGACAGTTTCAATGCATTCATGTTATTAAGGTCAACTCTACTCAAAGGCGTCAATGCTTTCCCAGCCATATTTTGAATGTCTTTCAAGTAGAGGGCTCTCTCACCTTCAGTAGCTATACTCGGCAATACTCTACTGCTATTCATCGAGTTTTCAGTGGCCTTTTTTTTTCTTTTTACCAACTAACTTCCATGTCTTTTTTCTACTTTGTCGAAGTCTGGGAGCTCCTCTGTAACCTGTCCACTATGAGGGACCCTGCTGATATTTGAAATACTGGTGGCTTAGCTTCCAGCATCACAGCAACAGGCCAGCCACCACAGTACAAAACATGACAGATAAGTGTTTGATTTAAGAGAATGGAATACTATATAAGCTTTCTTACCTGCAAGTTTGATGATGAAACTTCTTTCCTTTGGAGAGGCATTTTTGTGGATTTTCTGTACATTCACAGGCACATTTCCCAGGGTTTAGGGGTTGATTCCTTGGGCACGTTTTTTTACATATACACTGGCATGTGTTTTCATCAAATTCTCTGTTGGCCCCACAGGAGCTGGGGGAAAGTTTGTTTTTACAGACACACTGGCACGAGTTCCTGTCTAGTTCCTTGTGGGGCCCGCAGCTCGACGGCCGGAGTCCTCCTTTACAGACACATTGACACGTCTCCTCCTCTAGCTCCTTGTTGGGGCCGCAGACGTCGTGCACTTCATCTGCAGACTCTAGACAAACACGGCCAGAACCGTCAGTTTACCTCAGTATGAAATATCAGAAATCCTCTTCCCTTTTATGCTTTCGATTAAGGTTTTGTGTGCACAGATACATAGGTTCCCTTACAAAGAAATACCAATGTGTAGCTAAAAATGTCCTGCTTTGCAGTCTCTTAGTTCCAGGAAGGGTGATATGAACATTGTATATGCAGTTTTAATAATAAACATTTACTAATGAAAATATAGAGGCTTGACATCTTTTCTTTAAAAGAGCATTCTACTTACCATCTCCAGAAATGGCGGTCAAAAGAAGATCTTGCTGAGCCAGGCATCTGCAGATATGATTATTCCAGATGTAATTTGTAGGACAAGTCTTGTTTACTGTCTGACACCTTTGGAAAAGATGGAAACAAAAGGGTAGCCATTATATAGATGGAATCATTGTTTTCCCTTTCAAAATTAATATACACTTTTAAACAAAGTTCAAAATAATATATAAAAAAACCAACCCCCCAAAACCCCAAACAAACTCACTGTCATTGTGTGAATTCCAACTCATAGCAACATTTTGTACATTTCTGAGACTATAAATATTTTACAGTGACCAATCTAGCACTGACCCAACAGCAGTACCAGTAATGCTCCTATAAAATAGGAATATATACAATGAAACAAGAAAGTACCCTCTGGAAATAAATACCACATTCATGTGCTATAGTCTCTATCACTCCAGCCTTGGAAAAAGTCTTTTCTATTACTTTACAAGTTAGCCTTTTCCTATTAAACAATGTATTACAGACATCTTGATATCTCAAGTAATGAATTTGGGCTGAGTTATTAACAGTGACTGGATGATTTTATTAAATGGATGTACTTTCATGATTTCCCTATTGGTAGCTATTTAAGTTGCTTCCAACATTTTACGTTTATAACTACAATGCAGAAAGCATCTTTATACTCATATAGGCACCTTCGTCAACTTATTTCTGAAGCAAAGGACCCAGAACTGCACATGTTCTCCACATGCTCGTTGCAGTGCAAACATTTCATAGTACCCTTTCTTTTCTTCCCTCCCTCCCTCTTCCGTCCTTCTTTCCTTTCCCCATTTTTGCCCTTTAGTAAAGATGACAAACTTGAGTTAATTTCATAAATTGTCAACTCATTTTTATTATTAACTTTTAAAATTTTCTACACCTTGTCATGCATGTAGCTATTCTCCCACAGCATTCACATAGTACATGGAACCACATGTAAATCACTTGTGTTAGTAACCATGTTAATTGTTTGGTTATATGAAAACAATATTCTAAGCATCCTAGATTTTATTTTGATACTTGGTACTTTTCTACAGGCATGACTATGCTTAAGTTATTTTGCAGCAAATTGGCTACATTTTCCAGTTGACCTAAAATGCATTATAATTGCTTCCAATTAAAACAATAAGAAATGGAAGTAGAAAAGCATTTAGTGCTTGGAGGAATGGATTACTGATCTGAAGCAATAGATACCTGAATATATTTTTAGAAATAAAAGCGTTCATGCTGACATTTTCAAATCCAACTTAACATTGCTTTGTCGTTACTGTGAGTTGCTCTCAAATCTGTCCTCCCAATGGAATAACGTGTGTGCATTCCTATATCATGCCACCATGGTTAGAGGTCAGGCCACTGTGAGTGCCAGGCTTTTCACTGCCTGTTCACTGGAAAGAGTTCACTAGGCCCATCTTCTAGTCTGTTTTGGCCTGAAGTTCCCCTGAAATTGATTCAGCATCATGACCACACAAAAACCTCCATATGGTGGCTGCATAGGAAGTGTATTGGCTGGAATTAAACACCAAAATTCTATCTTTGAACTACAATGTCCCGATTTAATATTACAGGGATTAATATTTTCTCCCTTGATTTATATTTATAGCTTACACGAAAATCTTAGTCCTTAAAACCTTAGAACAAGCATATTATTTGCTTTTTCCGGTATGTGTGCTATATGCCTTCTCGTTTGACTTTATGAATATGAAAAACCTTTATGAAATAACCAAAATGAAAATTCTGTGAAAATATATTTTCAGATGAGTTCATTCTTAACCATATCTCTAGCTTACTGGTCCCATGCATATATGTTTTTTGTTTATACTTTCAGTGATTGTACTTGCAAATAAAACATAGATGTACATATCCGTATTTTCTCCACTTTCTTACAGAGAAGATACCATCCCTCTCCACTGTTCTACACCTTTTATTTAAACCAACCCATATATTTTAGAGAATTCTAAGTCTTGATACTACCTTTAGAACACTACCAAGGCAAGCCCACGCTCATCACACTTTGTGTCGTTGTTTACTAGGTTTAGCATGAGCATACTTTCACACAGTAAGATTCAGATAATATCAATTTCCTCAAACAATAACACAATTTGAAGCTTTTACGCACAGCAAACTTCATGCAGTCAGGTTGGCTCTGCTCAGAGGAGCCTTACAGGGCAGAGTAGACATCCTGTGAAGCGGATGGGCCACACCTTCCTCCAGGGATGACCCATAGGTTCAAAGCATGACCTCTTGGTTAGCAGCCGAGTACTTCCCCGTGGTACCACCAGAGCTACTTCAATTTCACAACCTACCCAATGCTTAGCAGTCTTCCTCTAGATACTATGATGCTATATATAGTTATATTATAGTATTGCAATTAATTATGGCTGCTTGTGATGCATATGATTCCTTGTAATTGAAGGGTAAGAGCCATTTCACTATTATGTCTGCAGGTTGATCTATGGGTAGCTTAAGTTACACACTGCCGTGTCAGCATTAGGTGAGTCCAATGCTATGATAGATAGTGGTAGTGGGAAGACCATTTGTATTTTGCCAATGTGATTATGTGGAAATCCCCTAAGCCAATGTTATCCCAATTGTTTGTTACACTTCATTAGCGGGTCATGAAATAAACTGTCTGGGTTGAAAATAATCTTTTACCTATGTAATTAAATACAAGTAATAGAATATATATGAGAGAATTGCTTTAACAGCCTATATATCTATGCATATTCTATAACTCACAGTGAGCACAACCCAACCCACAGACACATATGCACACAAACATGCGATGTGACTGATGTATATGTAAGCGTGTACAAAAGTAAGTAAAAAAGGAGTGCAACAAAATCATGGCGCTCTTTATAAAACATAAATGTCAAAATGTGAAGCTATTTCTTCTGTATGTATTCTCCACTGAGGTTTATCCACTTCTGAGGGCAGTGTTTCCATCTAGCGATATGCTCTCAGAAGTGTTCTGAGCACATGACTGGCATCACTTGAAAATGGCAACAGTGGCCTTCTTGAGCGATTCAAGCAGTTTTCCTTTGGGATGTTCTTTCAATCTGGGGACCCAAAAGGAAGCCTGAAGAGGCAAAATCAGGACTTTCAGGTCAATGAGATCAGGGATCCAATAGAGTTCTCAGAAAATCAGGACTTTCAGGTCAATGAGATCAGGGTTCCAATAGAGTTCTCAGAAAATCAGGACTTTCAGGTCAATGAGATCAGGGTTCCAATAGAGTTCTCAGAAAATCAGGACTTTCAGGTCAATGAGATCAGGGTTCCAATAGAGTTCTCAGAAAATCAGGACTTTCAGGTCAATGAGATCAGGGTTCCAATAGAGTTCTCAGAGAACGGCCCTTCATTACTCAACAATGGAGTTGTCAATTTTCTTCAAGCTTCCTAATCACTACGTTCATCATGTGTCTTTTAAAAAAATGTATCAAAATTACTCATATGTAATCTCAGAAAACAGTCACTTCCTGAGCTGACTTCTCTCCATTAAATTTAATAGGCTCAGGTTTTCCCTTGAAGCCACTGCTTTGATTGGATATAATGAGAGTCAGATAAGTATATTACTAACAGAACTTGTCTACAGAAATTCACTGATCTCATAAACATGTCTAAACATTGTTTGGAATAGACACAAGCATGGGTGAACTAGTATGAGTAGAAATACCTTTTGGATATGCCTTCACCTTTGACCCATGTTACTTAATTTTAGTTACAATCTAACATTTCAGAAGACACAGGTTTAACCACTGTGGCACTGAAGAAGAGTACTGAGAGGACCAGAGTCTGTCTGCTGAAAGAACAAACCAATCTGTCTCGGAAGAAGTCTGGCCAGAGTGCTCCTTAGAGGAAGGAATGGCAACAATTTGTCTCGCATACTTTGCACATACTGTCAGGAGAAACAAGTCCGGGGGAAGGACCTCATGCGTGGTAAAGCCGAGGGGCATCGAAAACCAGGAAGGTCCTCAATGAGCTGACTGACAGACACAGTGGCTGCAACGGCTCAGCCGCAGGAGCAATTGTGAGAACAGTCTGTTGTGCACAGGGTCACCGGGTGGCGGATCCCCCCGGCTGACACCTAACAAGGGCAGCAAACTGAGTAGATAGCAAAGAAAGTGTCCCGAATCATCAGTCACTCGCTTAAATGAGAATGGTGCATGATAGAATCTACTGAAGGAGTACGTGTTAATCTGTTTCTGTACATAAACTTTAAGTGTGTACAAAATTATTTATTTAAAGTTGTATGCAAACAGAACTAGTTTCTATAGCTTGTAGAGTAGGAAAATGTTGTTTTACCTCTGGTATTTTGACATTTCCCAAATTATAAGTTGTAATGTATGAATTTTTGGTAATAGAAACAAATGTAGAAATCTATTTCTTCATGTCGCGTGTAAAATAACAAAGAGTATAATGTAATAGAATTAAATTACGACTTAGTGCAACTTGTATGCACATTCACTAACTCTTCCTCTTTTGCATGTTCATATTTATTAAGAAAAACAAATCTTATAATGACACTTTTGATTATATTGTGCCTGAAATATTTTGGGTAACATGTGTTTTTTATTACTAACCATAGTTTTTTTCCAAAATGGACTCCAAACGAAACCATTCGCACTGCTATCTGCTATCGAGTCCATGAAGACTCATATTTTAATTTATATTATTCCTAAAATTGAAGATTGTAGAGAAACTGGCAGAATTAAGAAATGCCTCCAAATCAACAATGCCGCACATCCTACTGTGGAAAAATGTCCTCTTGCTAGGTACAACTGCATTTTAAAAAAGCCCATATATATGGGTAGAATATTTTCACATTTCATAAACGTAGTTCCCAGCTCCCAAATTTAGCTGCAAGTTCTTAACATTTAAAGCTTCTCATGTGAAAAACTAGAAGACACACTCTCAGAAGTACGTTTTTTTTAGAAAATAAAAAGTAATCGTCTCAGGGAGGTGCAGTGTAGCAACAATGAAAAATAGAACTTTCCTCTAGTTCCTAAATGCTTCCTCCTCCCCCACTGTCATGATCCCAATTCTACATGGCAAGTCTGGCTAGACCAGAGGATGTACACTGG